TCACTGACTTTATGACTCTTCTTTACTTGTGCTACACTTCTGTTACATTTCAGTATTCATCATTTACCTCTAGTTGCCACAGTGGCTGCACTTGAAGTGGTCACTGTAAGACATCTGGTTTTACACACAAAAGCACATTGAGACATGACTTTACCAATTACTTACCCTGAACTTCAAGTCTGATTTATGCAACGATTTGTCTGCAGGTCCTCCAACCTGTGCAAACTCAGCCAGTAGTGAGGAGGCAAGGGAGAAGTCTGACGCCATGCCAAACATTTCAGATGTGATGCTGAGAAAACTCAAACTTCACCGAGGTCTACCAGGCTGGTACGTAACAAATTAACTGCTAACGTTAACGTTAAGTTAAATTTGACCTTTTTCCTAATTTTCCTTCCTAATCCCTCAAACATAACCCTCCGTAAATCTTAATTTTACTGTGTACAAATACTGTATGTACAATACCTACCATACTAACAGTTCTTCTTTGATTTTATTCCAGTGCACCCCCACTCACAGAAAAAGAAGTTGAGGTTGGTATCTGATCTATGCAGGTTTTTGGGTGATTTTCACACATTCTTTCTGCTGAAAAGTATGACACAAAGGGATTTCTTCCACTAACCAATTTTTTCCTTTAATGTTCAGTACTTTGTCCATGCATGCTACAATTGATTTTGTTTTTCTGTGGTGCTTTGCTTGTCCTTTGGGAAATACTGTGGGGCCTACTTATGTGCTTTCTTGTCAAGAGTGCTGGAGTCAGTCAGTGTTTAGCTTAGCTTAGCATTAAGACTGTAAACAGGGGGAAACAGTTAGCTTGGCTCTGTACAAAGATAACAAAAATCTACTCACAGCACCTTTAAAGCTAGCTAATTAACATGTTATGTCTTGTTGGTTTCATCTGTTCAAAAATGTAAGTGTAAAAATTACAGTTTGATGTTTTATGGGCCAAGCCAGCTGTTTCTAGCCTTTGTGCTACGGTTGCTGGTAGTAGTTTCATATTTAATGTACAGCAGGTGAGTGAGAGAGTGACATCTTCCCTTCATCTAACTCTCATCCAGCAAGCACAGATTATAATATTTCCCAAATTGTCAAACTATTCCTTTAATAATTGAACATTTCACAAAGTAATTGACTTGAATAGTAGTAAGAGACTCAACTTAAATAGCAACAATTCTATTATAATTTGCTTTATGTTATGCTTTACTTCCCAAAAAAATCTATATTCAATTTAACATTGAATTTAAATGCTCCACAGTGTTTAACTGTGTACATCTTACAATGGGTCATAAAATTGACCACCAACTGTAATCTGTTTGCTTCGAGCAGTAAATTTTGTTCAAACACTGTTTCCAACAGTGCGGCCAGATGTATTGTTCCACTCACTTCTGACCAGTTGGCCACGTGTCTAGCCTGTGTTTATAACAACCTGTTTTGTTACCAAAGTAGCTAATTACTCATAAAAATTGCCTGGATTTGGCGGTGTTTTGTCAACAGGAAAGTTTTTTCTGTTCCTGATCAGACCAAAGAGACTAAGAGTGATTTCCTGTGGAGAAAATGCAAACACTAGTGACGCTGTCAGACGCGGGCTGTGGCCCCTCTCGCTGCTCCCTCTGGGATGCATCTGCATCAGGACAGTCAGAGGTCATATATTTCCTCTCAGCCATGACCTATGTATGTTGGAAAACTGCACAGACTGGCTTTGATCAACACAGCAAAACATCAAGAGGTCAAATGTCAGAATCACAGCTTGTTTCCCCATGCTGATCTCAGGGCTGCTTGATTCTCCCTCACACATTATCCAATAAAAAAAATGCATATTGGTATTATGTCAACAACCACACTCTCGTGTGTGTGCTGTAATGTGGGAGAGTTTTCTGTGGATTCCTCTGATATATTCCACTGAGTTGGTGTATTTCCAACACCAGCAGCTTATCTGTATTTAATGTGCTGTTTAATGGACCATTCTCAGTGTGTTACATTGCAGTAACTTCCTCTCCACAGAACGCATTTGTCCAGCTGTCACTGGCATTTCGTAATGACAACTACACTCTGGAGATGCGGCTCAAACAGGCAGAGAGGGAGAGGAACCTGACTGAGGAAGACACTGAGAAAGAACTAGAAGAATTCAAAGGAGCACTGAAGGTCAGTCCTCGAAAACAGCAGCTGATATTAGATCAACTCACTAGAAAAGAAGAACTCCCTCTAGCTCTTTAGTGCTCGTTTATCTGCTTAATGTTTCCTGGAAGTGTCCCACACAGTAAATATTTATCTTGTCTGAGTCCAATCCCAGGTACAAAGGGGACATTGATGTACACTTTGTTTTCCTGAGAAAGTTGTAACACGATGTTGTTGTGTTTCTTGCAGATGACTTCACCACAGTGGCAGAACCTGGAGCAGCGTGAGGCCTACCAGCGCCTCATAGAGACAGTGGCAGTGTTGCACCGACTGGCCACACGGCTCTCCAGCAGAGCAGAGATAGTTGGAGCAGTTCGACAGGTGCAGTTACACAAACACACACAGATGACAGTGCAAACAGAAAAAATGCAGGACAGTTAATGGCAGATGCATTGTATATCTTATTGTTTAAAAGATACTATGTTCTTCAGGATGTCTTGGAGCAACTGGAATGTCTGTTTGGCAGCATTTAAAAAAATAATGGAGAAAATTTTTATCAGATGTCTGATCTGATGGCTGACCTCCAGCCGGCCAAAGCAAACAACAGTTAAATAGCAAATTTACTGTGTTTGCAGTACAAAGGTCTTAAGCCATTTATAATCCCAAACCACTCAGATAAATTATTATCTTTTCTTTGTACTGCTGCCCATCTATTAATAACAATCTTATTATAAGGCTCCATCAATTGCACATAAACTAAAGCTGTCATTTTTTTATCCGGCTCAGATAACAATGAGTCTTTAGCAACGTTCAGGTTATTTTATTGACAGACACATTTAATGGCATTCATATTTTCTTTAAATGTTTGGGTTTACTTGCGGTGTGGCTCTGGTGGTAGATTGGATTGTCTGGTTCCCCAGTTCCCCAGTCCAGTCAAAGTGTCTTCGGACAAAATACTGAGCCCCAAGTGGGTGAGATTAGTATCATCGGGAGCACTTTGGATAGGAATCGCTCCTAATGGAGTTGGCACTTTGCATGGCAGCCTCTGCCATCAGAGTATGAATGTGTGTGTGAATGTGGGTGGATGTAACAAGTGTTGTAAAGCTCGCTGAGTGGTCAGTAGACCAGAAAAGCACTCTATAAATACAAGTCCATTTGCCATTTGCAAATAATAACTAAGGTGTGTGCTAGTCCTTGGCATCTCTATATCACATACTATATAAAGGAATTTTTAAAGAATATTTCTGTCCATGAGTTCTGTGCATAGTTCTTACCTTTTCAACATGTCACCAGAAAGAAGAAGAATCAAATAACTGCTTGTAACATGAAAGAAGTTTGAACCACAGAGAGTTATCACCAAACTTTGCAGCTCAATGGAAATTTTTTTTCTCTTTTATCTCACTGTTTTGGTTTTATGACACTATTTACTGTATGGTGCAGTCTCACTGCTCACTGTTTCCAGCCCACTGTACGCTACCTGCCCAACACCAAACAGCTTGTAGTAAGCTAAAGAGCCAGATATGTTTCTCAAGAGTAAGGGGAGACCAAACTATGAAAAAAGAATAAGTCACTCAATATTGGACTTCATTAGGTGGCCAAAAATACGATTCTAATGGGTAAATAAATGATTCTGTGTCCACTGGCTGTGTTAGTAGACAGTTACTAGCTATCTATACCAGGACTGTATGTCTGTCAGCTTGTCTTGTAGCTTGTCTGACCCCTAGTGGCCAAAAAATGATTAAGTCAGCTTTAAAAACACACATTTTAATCTAAAACTTAGTGAGCTGATGTAGGTTGGATAGCTATAAATGTATTGAGTAAAAATAGAGGTTTGGTTGTTTTCACTATTATTTAGCTCCTTTCACAAATAAGCATTTGTTCATACTCTCTCTCTGGCTTGTATTGACTGACTGCTCATTGCACAGGAGAAACGTATGAACAAGGCCACTGAGGTCATGATGCAATATGTGGAAAATCTGAAGAGGACATATGAGAAGGACCATGCAGAGCTGATGGAGTTTAAGAAGCTGGCCAACCAGAACTCAAATCGCTGTTACGGAGGGTCTGTAGACACTGGAGGTAAGACTACACTGGAGACCAGGTTCAGATTCAGCACAGGAAAAGAATGAAACTCAGCTAACCTAATATTACATTTTTACTCTGCAAAGGGTTTCATTCTTGTAAATGGAAATTATATTTAAACGTTATTTATCCAGACAAGGGTTTGATGAAGCATGCGCCTTTTTTTAGCATTACTGCTGCTTTGCTCTGTAAGAATAAACCATCCACTGTAACTGTATCCTGATGCTGTGTTACTGAGCAGCTTCAGAACAGCATGAAATTAATGCTTTAGTGTTTCTTTGTCCGTCTTTATAAAGATGATGGAGTTCCAAGGCCATCGAGATCAATGTCCCTCACCCTTGGAAAGGTAAGATCTTAAATTTAAGAGAGAGTTCTGTTTTTAGAGTCTGAGTCTGAGTCGTGCTGAAATATTTAACTCTTTCAATAATTTGCATAATCTGTTTCACATGGTTGTAAACTGATTGTCTTTTGATTGGCAATTTGAAGACTTTTTAGTGTATTTGTGTTGCAACACTCTCACAATGACAATGCCAATGTGCTGATGCTAAGCAGATATACATGGTAGACATACCATGTTCACTATCTTAGTTTAAGTTGCTAGCAGGCTAACATTAGCTAATTAGCATTAAACGCAAAATACAACTGAGGCTGATGGGTTGATGTTATTAGTTTTAAAATGTAACCTGATTATGGCATTAGATGAAAAGTCAGTGGATCACTAAAGTTATTACAATTCATCCTGAAGGGAACATAAATGTCTGCAAGAAATTTTATAGCAATCAAAACAAAGTCATTAGGACACACCCCCTGGGGACCATGAAGTACTGTCAGCTGCAAAATATCTTGATTCCTATTCATCTATCCATCCAGTATTTACAGAGGTTATTCAGTCTGACCCAAAGTGGTGAACCAATCATCTGACAAACTAACATTGCCATCCCTAGCTGCAACCATGGCTAAAATGTCCATATGCTGTCCTGTTGTTTTGAACTTGTCTCTTCTTTCAGTGACATCATCATGTCTTTGTAATTTGTAAATGTCCAAAAATTGAACATCCCTAATTTTTCCATGTTCTGTCTCCTCTCTAGGCTCTTCCCAGGCGTAGGGTTAGCGTAGCGGTCGTGCCTAAGTTTAACCTCCTGAATATCCCAGGTCAGACTCCAGTCACAGCCAGCCCGGGGCCGGGCCCAGGCCCAGTCCCCATTATGGGACCCACCTCTAGTGCTGCTCTTCCTGTTCTGGTAGGTCTTCCTGTCCTGTCAGGAAATGATGGGGAATGACATATCAGGCTTTCAATGAAGTGACACCTTCTATATACTGTCAATGACTCTCTCAGGCTCTGTTTCATATTGCTGTAATTGTTTTTCCCTCTAATTTCCTCTAAACTTCCCTGATGATTTGATTGTTTTGCAGTGGTACTTTCACTTTTGATACATACATTTAGCTCATAATACTTCTGTACTTTTAATTAAGTAGGATTTTAAATGCAGGACTTGTAATGAAGTATTTTTACACTGTGGTATTTATACTTTTGCTAAAGTAAAGGATGTTGATACTTCTGTCACAGCTGTTTAATATTGTTAGAAATAAATCAATATTATATTCTTCAACAATATTCAACTCTCTCCTCTTTAGTGTGAAGCAAATGATGTGAAAGGCAATGTTCCCACAGAGACGGCACAACCAGCAGCAGAATGGTATGTTTTGTATACTTGTGCTGTTTGGGTTACACACACACACACACGCACACACACACACACACGCGTGCGCGCACACACACACACACACACACGACTGCATGTGCAGTACATATACATACCATTGTTGATTCCCAAGGTCACCACACAGTCCTTGAAACAATGGGCCAAAACAAGCCTGAACTTGTAAGCATTCTTATCAAAAGCATTTTGTGCTGCAGTGGGACCTTGCTTGTTTGTGTGACCTTTAGGATGTCTCTTAAAGCCCAGAGAAAGCCCCAGTGAGGTGAAAATAACCCTGAAGCATAGAAAATAATCAAACCCTGCAGCAGTTGATGGATACGCTATCCTGGGTCGTAATCTAAACATTTGTGCAAGAGTTTGACAAAGTCCAGGCACCAGGCTCCAATCATATCCTGGTTACAAAGTAGAGCTCTCAAGTGTCTGAGCTAGATGTTCCTTAAGGAGACGAGAATAGCAATAACAAATGTGCAAAAGTGCCAGCTCCATTTTTTACGTTCATACTCGCCATACCACTCAGCCAGTGCTGTTGCTTGTCCATTATAAGACAAGGCAGTGGTGTTGTGGTGCTGTCCAAGGCTGACTGTTCTTTCCCATTTAAAACAATGCAGTGGAAAGAGTGTGTCGGAGCAGGAAAGTGAGCCAGCCAAGCCTTCAGTCAACTTAGAGGAGATCAGAGCCGAGATCAGAGCCGAGATCAAGGCAAAGATCGAGGAGGAGTCGTATAATAAAGGGTGAGTCCTTCTCTCCTGGTCTTTGACTACACATACACACACACTGTATGATAAACACTGTTGTTGCTCATCATAAATCACTACATTTATGGAACCCATCAGGTATGTTGTTGTTGTTGTACAGGTGAATTTTCTCATGTATATAATATTAAGTATACAGAGACTTTGAGACATTTACAGTGATTATTATGAATTCTACATTCCTAGTTACGGTCTGATGATAGAACATCAGTATTTCTGGAATCTTACTACCGTATAATTTTAGATCTTGCTGGTAAATATAAACATTTCACATGCAGCTTCCAAGAGGGACTGAAGCAAAATAAAGTGCTGCAGGAGGAGAAGAATGAAGAGAAAAACGCTGAAGAGAAACTGCTGGAAGTGAAAAATAAAGATGAAGAGAGTGGAAAGAAAATAAAAACAACCAGGTAAACTAAATCTGCTGCCTTATAAAAAGAAATAAGCAGCATGTTTTGTATGTTGTTCTTTGACAGCAAAGACACAAGCAGACCAGATGTTCCAAGTTCTATTAATAATGCAATACTAAGTACCTGAATCTCATCTACACCCTGAAAGTACACCTCAATAAGCAAATAGTAGTTTAAATACATCAAGAGCTTCTCTATTTATGTGAATTCTCCTGCTTTAAAAAATGGTTTTTGTCATTTAGCACAGCTATTAGACTTATTACACTTGCAGAACGTTGGATGTTTGTGATGGTACATTTGTCAGGAAATCGTCCCCTGTGGACAAAAGTGGTAAAGTTTCCACTGTCTCGTTCATTGATTTCAAGGGGAATGCAGCTGAATCTGACCCAGTGGCCGGCATTAAGAATAACTATATAGAAATAGCCAGTCTTCTCGCTGATGGTCTCGTTTGTTTATGTGGGTCATATAGAGTTTCATAACCAGTTAAAATCTCCTTGTAGTAGGTTTAAATAGAAATACATGGATGATTTCAAGCCACATATCTGTCATGAAAGAAACTCCTATCATTGTATTTGCGTAGATATATAAAACTGTTGACAGCAATGACAATATGAGATATATGTCTTCGCAGGAGGATGGAGGAGGTCCTGGTTCTTCTTGGTCGTTTTCTTCCCAGGATTTCCTTGAGTCGGCGTCTACTCTGGGTCGCCCTGACACTGTTTGTGGTGATGTGTCTGGTTATCAGTATTTTTACATTCTTCAGTGACTACTACAACAGACGTGAGGACACGTAAGCAGAAAAGGACTTGTGCGAGGAAAGATGAAGATCTTTGGACTAAGTGTAGCAGCACAACCAAAGAACCCCAGAACAGAATAAGAGAGACAGCAGTCGTCCTCTTGTCTCTGTCAGTTTACCATATCACCACACTCAAACTCACTTGAATCAATGACCCTGACTCTCGAGGGCCAAAGACGTTTTGGGAGGCTTTATGGATAATGTTGCCTTTAACAGCATTAAGTTAGAATTTTGTTTAAATTGAAAAAAAATATATGTTTAGGGACCAATTATATAGTGTGATGATATATAACTATATATATTTAAATTAGATGCATACCTAATGATTTGTTCTGTTTTGGGTGCATTTTGATGATGAAAACTTTCCATTAAATGCCGCAATGGAAAAAGTGTATATTTATCTACACTCTAATGTTAAAGTATAATCTCTCAGGTCCAGTGGATAATAAAACTCCAGAGAGATTTTGAATTGATATTTAAAAGGAAAAGGAATGTTTTTATTTTTTGTTTAATTTCTATAATGTGTATTTAAAGACATTAAGATATAAGCACATTCCAGAGTAGTTCCTTAAGTGCAATATTTTGCAGCTGATGGTTCTCATTTGTGCCATTTTGGATTGTGTCTTCAGAGCACTGAGCGATTTCCTTCTTGTATGAGAGCACTGTTTAGATGGCATGAGGCTTGTTTTTATCTTCTTTGCACATGTGTTGTTTGTTCTCTGTAGATTTTATGTGTTGCCACTTCACCTTTAAATAAAGGTGCCTGAAAACCTATTGTGGTCATTTCTATTGAGAAATATAAAGTGCCACCAAAGCAGATTAATCCCTTTTCTAACATACAGTACAGAGGACTAAACGACCAGTGCGTTGGATTTACTGGCATCTAGCTATTAAGTTTCAGATTGCAATCCCTTCGCCTCTCCCTCCTTTTGTGTGTAGAAAAAAAAGGTGGTTACAAAACTCCCAAAAAATGCAAAGGCCCTATCTAGAGTTAGTATTTAGTTTATCCGTTCTGGGCTGCTGTAGAAACTGCGGTTCAACATGGTGGACTGTGGAAGGCAACCTGCTTCCTCTGTAGATAAAAACGTGATGAAAACATGCAACTATTCTTATTTTCAGGTGGTTATAAACTAATTACATACCTATGAATATATATACATGTATATTCTATTTTTGCCAATAGATCCTCCTAAATGTTACACACTGGACCTTTAAACCTGAAATAGTAATAATAATAATAGTAATAATGTTATGATAAAATTATCATTATAGTCACTTTAAAGGAATAGTTTGACATTTGGCAAAATACATGTTCACTTTCTTCCTTGGAGTTAAATTGAAGATTGATACCACTCTCATGTCTGTATGTAAAATATGAAGCTACAACCATCAGCCGGTTAGCTTAGATTAGCTTAGCTTAGTTTAGCAAGAGTAAGAGAAACAGAGGGAAACAGCTAGCCTGGCTTTGCCCAACGGTAACAAAATCCATCTACCAGCACCTCTAAAGCTCGCTTATCAACACGTTGTGTCTTGTTTGTTTATCAGAAGCAAAACTGAAGGGTAACAGTGAGATATAGATCCATGCCTATCATGTTTTCTTGTTCACTTCATCATCATATGAATCATCATATTCTCATTAGAGTAGTTTAATCAACCCAGGAAACTATTTAGTGTAATGTTATCTAAGTTAAATGCAATTTAACCCTAGAAGGTTTTAACATGACCCCATAGACACACAAACCCCACCCTTAAGAGAACTTAAATACTTTCCCTTTCCCTGCTTCAGATTATTATGCCCACACACCTCATTGACACCTCACATCTGACAAAAACACTGCTGCGTGTTCGTCAGCGCTCTTTGCGTCATTTCCTGCTGACAGGGCTTGTGCTGAGATGTTTTTGTGGAAGTGGGATGTTGTCGTGTGCCAAAGACTCATGAGAGGATACCAGAGATCATAAGCATGGTAATGACTAAGTAAAGTCCCATGGGAGGAAATCATTTGGACAGAGTTCCCAGTGTCAGATGTCAGTAACAGTGCAAATCACTTACTCTATGAGGACACTATCACACGTATAACGTCATTATTTTTTAAGTGTTAAACTATATTTTTTTTGTGCTATATTATAAGCTGCATTTTGACTTAGCCAAGAAATGTAATTATTTGTGGAACATGAATTCACTGTACACTGCCTTCTACAGAAAGATTTGTCTCCTGTTGACATATTCGTTTTATCTCTTTTTCTCCTGGGGCCCTCTCCTAGAACATATGATGGATCTTGATCTGACCCATGAGCAGTACTTCCCTCTTCCTTTTCCTTTACTTTCTGGCAAGAGTCCACACACCCTGGTGAACAGAATCACCCCTATTTAACCCTGTCATTTAGCTGACGGGACACATAAAGCGCGCAACACTTGTCATACCCGGCATTCGTTCCGTCTCTGATCAGCCATGAATATGCTTTGGCTTTGCATCACATCAGTGTTGTCAATTACTCCAGTCATCTCTGGCCTCAACATTGACACAAGCCACATCAAAGGTAGGTTTTGATATTTGCTCATATGTAAAATATTCTGTTATGTTTCTGTAGATAAATCAAGAATTCCCTGTTTAATTTGAAAGTGTTTCATTACATTTACGGCTTCTACGAACCCAAATCTAAAAATGTTTTATATGCTGTTTCCAGTTTTCCCAGCAGAAAACCAAAGTATTGCTGGAGTATTCCAGGTTAGCTACTTAAATGACCTCAACCAGCCTGAGTATACCTTCAATGCCTCTGAAGCTCGAAGGCTCTGCTTGTCCCTCAGTGTGAACATTGCCTCAAAAGCACAAGTACAGGAAGCTCTCACTAGAGGTTTTGAAACATGCAGGTAAGACCAGAGAAAGCATGCACGAGATCTCTTCAGTAATCTCAGCTTAGTTGAATATATGTCTGATGCTGTGTCATGTTTTGTTTTGTTTAGGTTTGGATGGATTGATGAACACTTTGCAGTCATTCCTCGGAGAAAGGCCCTTTCTAATTGTGGCCAGAACAAGATTGGCTTGGTGACATGGCGAGCCTCTGTTACACAAAAGTTTGATGTGTTTTGTTTTAATGAATCAGGTATGACATTTTTCATATGCATTTTTGTCCAGTGCTTTATACTACACATTAAGAGGCAACAGTTAATTAAAGATATCATGCATGCTATCAACACAGCCCTGGTTTTTGTTCTTTAAACTTTCTGATTGCATTTACATGTACACTGAATTTGGATTAAGTTGCATTTTTAGTATATTCTACATATCACTTTTTTCATGGAATGTTGGACTGAAATTGTTTTCTGAAAACATAACATAAAATGTTTGTTTAAACTTCCTCATTGTGTTATGCTTATTTTACAGGGTTGTTCTAATAAATACATATGTATCATTACTGCCAGAAACCCATTTAGAAATGCCTTTTTAATATTTTTCCCACACTAAGTGAAGACAGCTGTACAAGGACATTACTATCAGTCCATGATTGCAAATGGGAGGCAGATATGTTTTTTCCCTCAGTAACAAGGTTAAAACTAATTTAAAATAATGAACGATGAAAACATACAATTATTAAATGGCATGCACAGTAAATGCTCGCTTGTTGGATCTCTGTAAATAAGTGTGGAGTGCGGTCTAGACCTTCTCTATTTGAAAAATGTACTGAGATAATAATACCTTTTTTATACTAAAATTTAATTAAATAAAAAACATTGAAATGGTCTTTACCTAATCTACAATCTCTAATCTACCTAATCTCTAATCTACATGCACAGATGCGGCTACACAATTGAAGGATACAACAACTGATAGCCCTTTGCACAGCAGGAATTACTCTGGGCAAAGTCAATCTCATTCTAATGCAGCAAACTCCACCCAGGGCATGCACTCGTCCACTACCCTCCTTCCTTCTTCCTCCTCAACTCCTGAAACCATAGACAATGAGGTGGAACCAGCCCCGTTTGTCAGTAGTGCACAAGGCTCTGCTGGAGGTATGAGGAATAAAGCTTTTTGTCATATTCAATTCATACTGTATACAGAAATACAGTGCAACAAATAAAAACATACAGACAACAGCCACAAGTAAAGACCTTTTATTATAAGATTATAAGTGTTTGGATGTGATTTTTGTTCTGTTTGACTAATGTCTTTTTCCTTTCATGCTTTATTTCCAGCAACGGCTATACTCATCACCTCCATTTGTGCCGTTCTCCTTATTACAGTAATCATCCTGGCATACATCAAATTGTGAGTGGTTTTCCATATGAAAGTACTATATATATATATATATATATATAGTACTGAGGTCTATAAACTGTGGGGGAAAGAGAAGCAAAGAAAGCATCTTTTTTGTGTAAAATTCCAGCCACTACAAATTAAACCATGTTTCTCCTTTTGTTATTGTTACATCTATTATTGTGCATAGTATGATTTATTTATTTCTCTCTGTAAAAAGGAGGAGACGCTTTCTGAGCTCTGACACGAAGCAGCAGCAAGAGAACATCCAGATAGAAGAGTGGACGTGTGTGAAAAATATAGAGGAAACCAACATCGCTGCTCAGGAAGATGAGAGGATAGAAGTGGGTGATGAAGCAGAAGCAACATAAACATTTCTCTGATAAAATACTCTAAGGAAGGACTCCATGGACAACTCCTGAGTAACATTCTTTTTAAGGATGAAGATGTGTTGTGTTCTTTGTTTTGTGTGAAAGTAATATAACAGAATAACATTTATTTTTTGTATATGTTATGTGTTTGTTAGTATGTTATTAAAGTCATCTGATGTTATTAAATGGTGCAGTTTAGCCACTAGATGGCAACATTTGCAATACAATCACTGTGAAGACTTTTTATTCTTTCAACATACTACTTTACATAATGAACATACATACATGTAAACGCAACGTTTCACACACTTTTTAAAAAAGACATATGACATTATGAACTCTCTGTCAACTCTTTCAAAATATGGATATATTTCCAAAAAAACTCACAGAAGCCTCTTTGAAACAAGCTATTAAAGGGAGAGACAGAGAAAATGTCCCAGACATCATTTATCTCTTATCAGAGTGGTCTGAACTAACATTGTGTGAAGCCCTTTCAACCATAAGTGTTCCTACGTCTAATATACGGGGTATACAGTAACTGAAAAACGTCAAGTTTATGACATACCCTCGTCACAAAATGGAGTGTAAGGTACAATTGTTTATACATGATGGGATTCACATGGGCCTCCACAGCTTTTGTCTAAACCTTTGAGAGCCAAAGTGCCATCAGTCATCCAGTAATCCAAAGCATGCGCCTTCACTTTACCAAATTCCTTCCTTATCAACTTGTGATGAGCTAAGCATGACTTTTTAATTGACAGGATATTGTTTTTTTTGTTTTTTTAATCATCACAGTCACTCACTGGCACTTTTCAAAATAAAGGTAAATGTTAAATGGTTGATTACTGAGAGCTCAGCATGCTGCAGTCCGCTTTATTCATCCATAGCTTCAGACTTCACTGCGTCGACTATGAAGCTAAGTTCATTGCACAGGGTCTCGTGTCTGTAGGCCATGCGGATCTGGGCGACATTGGTCCGACGGATATCGTTCCCTTCAGGTCCATCTTTTAGATAGTTCACCCCTAAGAAGTGCTTCTTATCCTGTAAACAAACAATGCAATAAATTAGAGACACATGGGATGAATGTTGGTTAAAAGTAATGGAGACCTGGCAATGCCTGGTATGATAAAGGTGGAGTGAAAGTGTCACTGTACCTGGTGGGACAGTCCACTTTGCAGCACACTGTTCCTGGCTATCTCACACACATCACAGGTGCTGAGCTTCCACAGCTGAGCAGCTATAGCGTACTCTTCCATCAGTGGTTCCTAGAGTTAGGACACACAAACAGTGGATAAGAATTGTTAACAGTACAGAACTAAATCCATATAAAGCACGCTTCAATAATACAAACATTTACACTAAGACACTAAAACTATATTTCCTGTGTATTTGTTTCCGTTTACCTTGGTGTAGTGGAACTGCATGGGATCGTCTGTGGACAGGGACACACACAGGCCTTTGTGCAGGAATTCTTTGAGAGGATTTTTGGAGTATTCCAGGAACAGGCTGTTGTTGCTGAGTGGAGACATTGCAATTGGCACCTGGGCCAGGTAGTACAGGTACTGCAGCACAGGGCTCTGAGGGAACATGAAGTTAAAAAAATAAATAAATGCTGCTCTGGCAACCCATATGGTACACACACACATACAGTACACCGAGCTAGGAAAGGAGCTCAACCACTGTTTGATGTACACGTGAATAGTTTCAGCTGTTTAAGTGCTATATATATAAATGCTAGTGCTGTATTTCAGTTCTGCAGCTCCTACAGGCTGCACAAGGACTCATATATTGAATTGTCTATCTAAAACATACAATTTTGTTCCAGAATCTTAAAAAACGAACACAACCTACCTGATCTAACATTAGGATTTGTGGGCCTCTATCCACATTATCCAGACTTACAGTGAGATATAGTTGGATTATTGCAATTGTAATGAATAAGTTACAGAAATGAAACAAAAAGCCACAAAAATATAAGAGTCTTGCTGCCTCCTTGAACAAAATGTATGTATGTCTGTGCAGTTTGAGTTGTAGATCAATATTAGTGAGTCATCAGTTTTCTTTCTTCGGGACTCTCTTTCTTTTAGTCACAGGAAATTCAAAACTTCCACTTTCCTCTCTCTCACCTGCAGTTCTCACATATTCAGCTGTTCCACGGTAAACTGAAGCACTAATCGCAAGAAATCTGCACACGCAAGCTGAAAAAAAACTCCAACCAACAAAGACTTTAAGTTCATTTGAGTATTAATTATGTTGGTCTAAAGATTAATTAATTAATTTAAATAAATACTCTTCTGTGTTCTCACGTTGTGGTCGCTCTCTTGGCTATAATGCATAATTGAACAGGAAGACAAAGTATAGAGGATTGTTATCTTATTGGTGTTTGGCTGGGGTTGGCCCACACAGCAGCAGCTTTATGTTATCCCTTCCAGTTCCGGGAAGAATTTCTCTTTGATCCTAACCCTAACCCTTTTAGATTCTGTGGACAGCATCTGAATTTGTATCTCTGTAACCAATCTGAAGTACCTTCTTCAAGTTGAGTCCGTGTGAGATGTTGTCAGATGTGAGAAAGGCAGAGACCAAATGAGTGATTGATCCCGCTTCGCCACAATGGGGACGGAACTGGAAGGTGCTCAGTCCTTGCTCTCTATACAGGACACGAAAGGACATAATAAACCAGTAAATCGATATACGAGCAAATCATGGAACAGTGTCTAATTTTGTTTATCCTTGTATTCATCATGCTGAGAGTATTTATAGATATCCTGCGATACTGTACTGTACTGCATTTTGAGATGTCTAAGTTGCTCTCATGGGGTATGGGTTCAATAGTTCAGTGCTTGTACAGTTCTTTCTTCCCTGAGAGCTCTACAAAGTATATTGTCCACTGAGTGCTGGACCCACAGTACCAGGTCAGGTCCTAGACTGTAAAAGAAATGTTCCTCCATCAATCTCACAGCAAAGCACCCTGCTTTAATGAAGAAGTGTGTGTTGTGAAGAAGGAAAAAAAGCTTTAGCTCTTACTTTCTGAGGTTGTTGAGGACCATGATGTTTGCATACATGTGGAAGATGTAGTAGCTGTAGGGAGGGTTGTCATCTGTAGTCCACTGTTCTGGCTTTGGGCTCCTGAAGGAGAACATGTGATCACTGTGTTTGGATTCATCGTCCACGCTGTCAAACCCAGACACCTGCACACGCAAAGAATGAAATGTAGTCATTTACTACTGAGATGGTCTTATGAAGCCTGGCGGGTGTCAAATGTAAAAATGTTTAGAATTATGTCACAAATATTAGAAATATTTTCTGAAAATTCTTAACCATGAATTACTTTGTTGCCTCAAATTAATAATTCTTGTTCTTGAATTATTTAGTGTTACCTTCAAATTACTGATTCATTTTCACAAAGTAACACACCTTACTTTAAACACCCCTTTGGCATTTAAAGGCACTACATAAACATTTAATAAGTGGTTTATAAAACACTATGTGGTTATAAGCAGATATAGGGAAATCGATGTGTTTATTAATGTACGTTATTTGAAACTATACATTCTCCTATGAAGATATAATCTATATTATCATAACTGCTTTACTATATTGTGATTCATTATTTACTTATTTGAGTTTATGCATACACACTTTATTAAAAACGTCTCCACTCCTAATACCTGATGGCCTGATCTGTAGGTTTTAATATGATGAACACAAAAACAAATCTTACATATTTGAGGAAAACATGAAGTTCTTTGTGCTTCTGTGGATTAACAGTGGCCTCAAATAGAGGCAGGAATATGTTCTCCAGCATCTTGGCAAAGTTAGGTACCAGCTTCTTCGACTTGAAAATGTCACTGAAACACATTAAAACATCCTCTTATATTTTTAGGAAAATGCCAAGATTTTATATGTTAAGAAATGTTTATGAAAAATTGTAATATTGAATTTATCCTAAGGTTGGAGCACTCACTATATTCTGGGCACTTGAATCATCCACCTCATGTTTGGAGAGTGTACTTTGTGGTGAATGAACCACTTAGACAGACTGTCCCACTCCTCTGGAGAGCGTCCGTAGATGGAAAGACGTGGCTCTGCATGCTGGTACTTACTCTCCTCCAGGTCATGGGCCACTTCCTATTAAATGTGAGAAGTGGAGTGTGCTTAACTGTCTCTGCATCAGTTCTGACTTCAAATGTATGATTACATGATATGCTACCTTTATGATGTGAGCAAAGTACTCTCCACCAATGAGGTTGTCTGTTTTCAGGAAGATTTCTCGAAGTTCACTGGCTCCCACTGGGTTATACTTCGAATTGAACTTATCAAACCGATGGAAGGTGTGTCTCCCCTGTAAAGTTTAGAAATTACAAAGCATATTTGTGAACTCAGAGTGGTCATGAAAAATGTTGATAGAAGTACTTACTTGCATTGGCAATTTAAGTGACACAAATAAGAGGCAGAGAGCGTGAAGGAACATAATAATTGAGAAACCTATACATTTTATGAAAGTAAAATGCTAAAACATGCTGGCATTTTCTAATTTTCTTACAGCATGTACATCCAGAGAGTCCACAGTAAGGTCATAGGGGTCCTTATTGAGTTTGTGGAAAACCTGCTGGAGAGTCATCTTTTTTCCAGCCTTTTCCAACACCACACGGTCAGCATCAGGCTTGTAGGTTTTCTGGATGAAGGTCAGCAGGTGTTTCTGAGACATGCAAGCAGCTGCATGAATATGTGTGTCCACCTAAGAGAAAGAGACATTTTCTCTGTTCAGTCTCCTGGGAAACTTGTGTGAGTTGAGTGAAACTTGAGTGTTTAAAAATGCATGCAATTGTTTTGTTTTTGTTTTTTGTTTTTACAAATAGTTGTTTTTAGAACACCTGTGGATAGAAATCTAACCTTTCGAACATTGTAGAAATCTCTGTGAGGCACACTTTTTAGTTCCTTTAGCTCAGCCATCTCATTGAGCATCTCATGAAGGTAGAACTTTGAACTCAAGAAATTTAGTCGTCTGTGACAGTAGGTCTTCCTGAAAATTAGAGACAACCTCAGTTTAGTACGTGTTATTACGTACTACATAGGTGGCAAGAACTTGTTCTACAACCAAGACTGTTTATTCAACCAGCATGGCTCAAGTGTGTTTTTGTTTTGGCAACTTACGTGGGTCCATCTGCAATCATTGCCAGCACGTGACTGAGGTCAATGGCAAAGGTCTCTAAGTCTGGGTAAGGAAGGTCGTGGGGCTGGTTTGCTCTCAGAGCCTTGGCATTGTCATACACATACACTATCCCATCCTTCATCTTCAATTCATAATTCAGGTTCTCTGGGATGTTGTCCATGCTGTAGGGATCTTCCCCAGCTGTTGGATGCGGGCACATATCTGGAGGGCCACAACATTGTTTTGTTACTGTCATATACAATAGAATAAGTGAGTGTAACTTTTCAAATACCATATTGTACACCTCAGACCTGGAAGAACTTCCTCTTCTTCACTCCATCTTATGTTCTCAGCACTGCGGAGGAATTGGGTAGTGGTTCTGCAGAATCTGTGATAGGCTAGCTTTGAGTATTTCTCACGAATAAGCAGAGCCTTAAACAGACTTTTGGCTGCCTGTTCATAGTCCTCCAATGTAATCTGAATGGGGAATGGACACATAAATTAATCTTAAATGTTGTCTTATCTAAGCCATTTTGGTAAGTGGACAAATATGCCATATTTTCTTGTTCAACATTCTGTGTACAATAATTAGATGTGTAAAGCTGCAAAAGCACTCATTTCCTTAACTGTGATGTATACTGCTGTTTATAACACTTACTCCAGCACAGTAATCACCACTAATAGTGACCCTCTGGTAATCAGGGCAGTTTTCTGGCAATGATGAGCAGGTGGAGCTAGGGGACAGGAATGGTGTAACTGCCACTGACCGCGTCCAGTCTGTATTCACTGGGATCTGCAGGGACATTGACTGGGAACGAATCATCTTCAAGCTTTTCCTCCTGCAAAACATAATTCATATAAGCAAATGTAACTTCCCCCCAAGTCATGACACAATTGCTTATGCAGTTTTTGTTTTTATTGGCCTTAAGATCATTTGTGCCTGTGATTTGGTGCCAGATCAATAGCAGGGCCTACCTCTTGGTACTCTCTTCCGACTGTTGCTCTGCCAGCTCCTTAAGCAGTTCATGTTCCTTGGCTTGCTGGAGGCCAATTGGGCAGTCCTCAGGCACGGTGAACATTGATAAGGCATCCTTGTGGTCTTCTTCCTTTAGCGCTGATGCATATACTTTCTCGGCTAGCAGTTGCGTTTCCTCCTCTGCCTCACTCAGAGTTACCTTTGGGAATTGACGTGGCATATCTGCAAGGAGGTACAAGCTACAGTAAAATGACTGGTGACAGTGACATGCAATTATAGGATTCACAGAGGACCTGCCCTCCTTATCAGCGCTTTACTTGCTCAGACCAGCTTGTGCTATTTTGTAAACAAGCGAATCTACCTGTATGAGGGTTTGGGGGAAGTACATTCGAGAGCTTACTGCTGCACAGTATGACCACCTGGAGAGCCCTCTGTGAACTGCTTATGTTAGCTCAAATTAGATTACACTGCTGCAGTTGTTCATGTCCTGCAGGTTAACTCCTCAACACAACTCCAAATTAAACCCATAAGAAATCACTTCTTGTGTTGCAACAAATAAACCAGCACATGTCCTAGCTGTCATTATCAACATTTATTCATTTTATTCCATTACATAGCTTTGTTGTTGTACATTATTAGCTTTTTCTGTTATCCTGTGTTCCCGTTTTGCTTGTTGAACTTTTCATTACTAACTAATTCTTGGCGATCTTTTTCTTTTTAAGAAGTGTCGTCCATGTAAAGCAACAAGTCAATACTATTTTGAAAGGTGCTATAACAACAAAGTTTATTATTATCAGCAAACAACTGCATTGGGATACTGTAATGGAAACACTAGCTAGTCCTGTGGAATATTTATGGGATTATCATCATACTAAATTGAAAACATTGTGAATTGTGCACTGGTACAATGACATTTGAAAATAACCTGTCAGATAGCTCCATTCAATTCTCCAGATTCATGACACCTTCGTAGGAATCTTCCTGAGCTATTCTTGACATGTTGCTTTATAGTCTCTTTTATGGCTTAATAAAAAACAATGGCAGCATTTCTCTTTAAGCCCTTACCAACAGCATATCGTATTGTTTAATTTTCCTAACAGTATGTAATCCTGGATATGATCCACCTGGTTACAGTCATTCACCATGCTTGCTGACACGTACAGTACTGGAGGTATGTCAAACGGAGAACTGTCTATTTCTGCGAGGAGATAACCTGGGTGAACTAATAGTGTCTTGTTGATATCTTCAGTGATACAGGACACAGTTCTGGTCATTGAAGTGCCGAAGCAACTACAGAGAAAGGCCATGCTGCATGGTGTCGTAGAAGCCAATTTTCCACTCTGCCAGGGTGCTTCCAGGAAGCTTATCATTCCGGACACACAACACTATCCTGACAACAGCTGTGTGCCTCACCGCTGCTGTGGAGCTTTATGGCACCACATGTACAACGTGAAAAGGGATAGGCTCATAAAGCTGTATTGATCTGGAGAGATGATGGCCGTATGAATTATTAAGTGTTCTCTCATGCTCTCCAAAATAAATTCTGTGAAACAAATACTTTGCTCTCTCCTCACCTTTTCACAGTCAGGTACACACACACACACACACACACACACAAATCTCATTTGAGTTGAAAACAGTATTAGTTTAGAGTGAGAGCCACATCTTGTCTAACAACTGAACAAATCCCATGAAAAACAAAACAAAAACATATGCAGAAACAGAGAGAGTGAATGAATTGTAAGCAGAAGGGAACATAATAATTGAGAAACTTATTATTATATTATTAGTAGTAGTAGTAATTAATAAAGTATATATCTTATCTTATCTAGTTACTGGCATTTTCTATTGGATCTACATGTTGTTTCTAACCCACCTCCTAGTTAATTTAACACTCATTATCAACATTTATTCTTTTTATTCCATTACCTATCTTTGTTGTTGTACATATTTTGCTTTTTCTGTTATCCTGTGTTCTTTACTTTTTGAACTTTATAATTCTCTGCTATGTTTTTCTTTTGAAGAAGTGTCCTCCATGTCAACAAGTCAATACAATTATGAATATAAATATATTATTATCAGAACACAACTGCATTGGGACACTGTAATGGAAACACTAATAACTGGAAACAGTATTAATGTTTTCCCTTTTCCACATGATGACTTACCGGTAACCTAAACACACATTTTTAAAATCAGTCCGCGGCTAAAGTTAGCTGTAAGTTAGCCTAATCAATAAAACACTGCGTTCACGGTTAAGCTGCCTGTTTTGGTGTTGTGAAAGTTAACTTAGTTGTAGGTTAGCTAGTTTTAAACCAACGTAGCTCCTCTCTAACATAGATATAACTTTAGTTAGTTAGTTACAACACAACAATAACATGCTACTGACCTGAGTAGTAAGTTAGCATGCACTTTTAATTTAAAGTTACTAATCCTGCTGAGGTGATGACGCCGGTGAGTTCATTTCAATAACTTTGACATCTTTTTTTTTTTTTTTTAGCATATAATTACTGTACGTAGTAAAATAACTAAAGTCTCAACTCATTCACTGGCCTAGTCGTCTATAGTTTAACTGTTACCGTGACAACCGGGGTCAAGAAGGTGATGAGGCTGGAAAATAAAGGTTTCGTTAAACATCATAATGCGACAAAAAGTGTTTGTTTTTTTTGTTTAACCATTAAAAAAACACTGTTAATAAAATGTGTCAGGGGGTTTAAGTAAAGTATGTGTATATGGTATAAGTTACAATAGTTTACACTTTACACATTTTATTCTGCTCTTGTAATTGTCTTTATGATTATTTTTTATTTAAATTAAGTAAAATTTACTCATGAGTTCTTCAAAAATGAATTTAAGTTTATGTTAACCCTGTCATGCATTGTTAGGTCAGAGAGACCCAACACTTAGTGCGGACTCATCTCCCCCACACTGCTGTCTAATTTTGCTGCTGACCAAACTCAGCCTCAGACTCCTTTCTGGTGACCATGTGCCTTGAAATATAGCAGATGTGCAGTGACTGAGGCAGAGATTAACATATACTGTAACTTGATTTCATAGCCATTTTGCCTATTATCTTGTATTGCATTTATATGCGTCTCATCAGTCCCGCGCTTACCTTCAGTGCCGCTCATAGCCATATTTGGGGCTGCTGTCATCTCAGATTGGACAAAGTGAAGCACCGTACAGAATCAGTGGTAGCCTAAGAGATTCTGCCTGCATCTATCTGGGTCAGACTAAAGTCAATCTATGAGCCCGCAGTGGCACACAACTACAGTTTTGTTTTTACAACTGCCCATCTCTCTATTTTAAGGAGCCAGCGGCATCATGTTGACAGGGCTGCTAATCCTGAGAATATGTCAAAACTGGCTGTCAACAAAGAGAGGGCCTCACTCAGATTAGACAGAGCCTGCCGTCTACTGCTCTATTTATCGCTCTCTTTCTGTCTCTCTCAGACACACACACACTCACAAGAAACACACACTTACTCTTGTACTTACTTAACTGTACATTGTGCACACATAGAGAAGGAGTGAGGAAGAGACCCTCCTCACCATTAGGCTACTCTCAGATTGCCACTCAGAGGTACAACTCTCCCATTTGTGATCTGTATATATGACGTAGAGAATAGAGATGCATAATGCATTGTATGTCTTGCTGTCAGTGCCCACCTATTTATAACTAGGTGACCAGGCTGAAGGTTTAATGGTGAGAAGAACACTCCTCTGTCAGTCAGTGTGGTAAAATAATCATCATACATTTAACCAACATAATAAATGATCTCTCTCACTACGGCCTGGACCAGGATAAACTATCGAATTTATGAATTTGTTGACTACTAAATAATTTAAATAATTTCCCCCTGGGATTATTAAAGTATTTCTGATTCTGATTCTGACTACGAATTCATAAAAATGTGCTTTATTATGAGATAAATTGTGTTTGCAAAGCTTCAACAATTATCTGATATCTGTTGTTATCCTATCTGCTTGTTATGTACAGGTGGTCCGGAAGTATGGCAGAGGGTCAGCAGATACTGCACGTGTTGCTTCTGCATGCTTCCGTTCCCTAGAGAGGTACAACTCATCATCATTTGTAACGTAGCTATAAACACACATCAATGTTTATTTCCTTTAGACTGGAGGACATTTAGGGACTGGATCCTTAAAAAAATATGACATTGACGTAAATGAGAAAAAAATAACATCAAGAAGCCTGCTGATTCCCACCCCACCACTCTGCACAGTCAATCCCTAAACAATAACAATGCATTTCTGTCCTGTTGTACTCCCACTGGACTCTTATTGATCATAGTATCTGGTTTAGGAAACATCAGGTCAGATGTCTGAGAAATAGTGTTATGGCGTATCTCTCCAGACAGCATTATTAGACACTAATGTGGGGAGTATCTTAATGGTGCTCACTGTCGACTCTCGGCTAATGTATGTGTGTGCACCCTTGTAAATGTACTGGAAATGTGGAAATGTGGAGGTCACCATATATCATCCTAGTAAGTAAGGATCATCATTCATTATTATTTCCCATTCACTGTAAATCCCAGAGGAGGCTTGTTGAAGCCATTACTCCACCACTCATTGCCCTATCTTAGACCCAGCTCGCTATATTCTGCCATCTTTATCTTGTCTTTTTTGTCTTTTCTCAGACACGTCACTGCTGTAATTGGCCGAGCCCCCACGTCGGCTCTTTGTCAAAGTCATAACTGAGAGAGAGGTCAACAACACAAGAGAAATCCATTTACATTACATAGGGATAGTGATGACAGAGGGAAAGTAAAGAAGCTCACTCTTTCCCAAGCAAGGACTTGACTGCTGCTTTAAAAGAGGCGTGTCTCCTTTTCTCATTTTTCTCAGTGGTCAGTGCCTGGAAAAGAATAAAGATAAAAGGGAAGGGAAGTGCACTCACCCATGAATGCAAAGCAGGCTCGCTTACAGCTATTCTCTATTACTTGTCAGATACATTTCCAGGAAGTCTAGATGTGGATTATTTATTTTTTTTCACCGATAAATGGGTTTGGATATGGATACACATAAACCAGTTACAATGTCTCACATAATGTACAGCAGAACTATACAGTAACATAACTATAAGCCAAGATTTTTGTGAATGGAAATTTTGACGACATACAAAGATTCTTAAAGTAATGTTTGCCTCTTCCATTTTTACACCATTAAAAGGTTTTTGGGGGAGGTTTTCCTTATCGGAACCGAGGGTCTAAGGATGGATGGTGTCCTTGCTGTACACATTATAAAGCCCTTTGAGGCAAATATGTGATTTGTTATATTGTGCTAAATAAATACAACTACGACTTGTCTTGACTCCCGTTGTCAATTCATGGTCATCAACATTAGACTACTAATATGTTAAATAAGTTCACTCACCTGCTCTGGCTCTGCTGTCTCTGAAGTGTAAATAAACTGTGCACAGGTTCCCTCAAAGAAACATCTAAGTCATGCTGTGCTCTTGTTTTGGCTAGAGTAAATGATATCTCATCCACCACCCTGCAGTGCACACCACTCCATCCTTAACTCTTTCAATGCCACAGCTTAGTACAAGGACATCAGCTGATCGGATGCCGAAGTCAGCCATCGGGGTCATTGAACTGTTTTCAGGGAGTAGTAGTGAATGAAGTGGGGATTATGGTCAAAATGAATAAATATGTGAAATATCTGTTTTTTTTCCTGTTTTCTCTCTTCTTTCTAAGAGACTAATCATGTCCTCTTGTGGGTGTTTTGTTCATTTGCAGAACATTTTGCTGTCACGTGACATGAGCAGACTGGTAAGTAATAACGGCATTGTAAGAATGTTTTGGGATGAAATAAACAATACATATACAAATTATATAACAGGTTTCACTAGGTACATTCACTTCTGTCTCTTTAACTATAGTTCCTCAACTAAGATTAAGACAATTACAGTACATTTGTATGGACTTACGTCATCAGTGTACGTCATGGTGGGAGTAAGTGTCTATTAGTGTATGTATTCTTTGCATGTTGCAAAGAAACTAAAACTCCAAGCTGTCTGTACTACCGGTAAAATCAGTCTCTGGGGTAGAGTCTCACAGCCAGATCAAAGCACTTTCTTTGATACCTTTGCAGAGCAGAATAAGCAGTCTTGCATAGGTGAACTCCTGACACAGTCTTGGAAGAGGACCTACATTTACTACTGTGGCAATAAGCAGCAGGGGGCCCACAGTCCCTGATTTAGCCTGACAGTGTTTCAGATTATGAGGCTAATCCTTTTAGCTCAGGTTATCAGGGTACTTTTAGAGCTGGCTGTCGAGGACTAACTCTTAACCCTGGGCCTGTATTATTATGATTGACAGCAGTATTGTCAGACTGATTATTTATCTGCCTTCTCCTCCTCTCTCTTTTGTTCAATAGTGAACTCAATGAGCAAATCAATTTATTACCTTATTAATACCTGAGTTCCTGATTTTCCCAGCACAGCGTTTTAACTCACATTTTGGCAGTAAAGTTAAAATGGTGGAAAGGCCAGGTCCTCAAATAATACTGTTGATAGCTGTCGAAACACAGCAGTTGAAAAAATAAAAGGCTTGGAGATTAGCATACAGTAAGTCCTGGAAAGTGAGTATTATTTTTTTTACCAGCTGACCTACACTGATCAGTTTCTCATCACGTCACTGGCGTCACCATCTGATTGGCTTACCGAAGGAGTGACACCATCACATAGTTGGAGAGTACACTGAATGGCCCAGATCTATTTTTTACCCTAAGGGTTTTGTGCAGAAACTCAATACCCATTTAAAATGTAGAAATACATGTATTTATATTTATATATTCATCAGCCACTAGATGGCACATTCACTTTATTTTATTTTCTTTACAATATTTGTTATTGCCCTAATGCCATTGAGTCATATGTAGGGCAGGTCTTGTGTTATTGACATGTGGTAGCGACTGTGCATTGTGCCAGTTTAATTCAGCCATAACCTATACTTATACCTGTACAATTTCAGAAAGATTAAAGCTGCCAAAATATTTTTTTATTGAAGTAACATTGTAAGCTCTTTTTCAAAGTCTAAATCCATGCAAAAGAATAGGTTGTAAGCAAACATTGTAGTAAAGCAAGACATATTGCTGTTCCCACTTCTAGTTAAAAATCTTTTGAATTCAGCTGTCTGATCTAATTAAATAAATCATACAAAGAACCACCAAAATGTTAGTGTTTTACCAATCCAATCTCACTAGATGGCAATAGAGAACATACAATGCATTTTTGATACTCACTCTGTTTCTGTATATCCTGTTCACAATCATACTGCAGAGTTTTAAACAGCTGTAATTGGCTTTTCCAGTGAATTAAAACAAAAGCAGAAACTGTATCCAGCCAGTATTTCTAATTCTCAATGATCACACTTTTAATTGGTATGAGGTTCTGTGGGCTTTACAAAAAACTAAAGCCGTACATAATTGTATTCAGTCACAGGTTTATCTTTCATTTCCTGAATGATTTCACTCAGAATTGTTTATAAAGGCAGGGTGAATGTCCAGTTAGTGCTTAAAAGGAAAAACTGATAGTCATGCTAGTAATGAGTACGAGGGACATCAAAAAAGTGGCAGTGAATATCTGACTATAAATCTCTGGTTTGTTTGACTTTATACCATTCAGTGAATTCCTGGCTTGATCTGTTGTTGTAAATCTGTATATGTGATAAAGCGTATATTGCTACGTAAATTTATGCAAACGAGTGAAGCTAGAGAATAAGATGCAAGGTTGTCACTTTATGGACTATCCTCAGTTGTTTCTCATGGTCCATCACTCTGTGCAGTGCCCATGTTAACAGTTGTACCCTGAGCATTGTGGGGCTGGCCTGAATAAAAAGAGATTAAAGGAATACAGCTAAAAGAGAAATCTGTAATATATGTGTCTTATGTTGTGTAGTCTGAACTCAGTCTGAAGAAGGGATGATAATGTGTCAAGTAAGACCTCTTTGCAACAGCCTTTCAGTGCTGTTCAGTCTTGGCGGAGTGCTTGAATGTGAAGGTCATGATCAGTGCTTTGTTGGAGCTGTTTTCATGATGCTCTCACAGGAATGTTAGGCCGGAACCCCCCACATCGGCCTTCTCGTGTCCCAACTATCTAGCATTGAAGACAGATGGAGCTAAAGCCTCAGCCTTCTCTCATGGCTTTAGGGCTGCTCTGTGGTGTGGGGTGAGCCAACAAATATGATCTGAACCAAGCAGGAATGCGCCTGGCACCCTGTCTGCCCTTTT